GTGTCAATCCCATTATAATACACCAAAATTCTAGCAGCTTCAGGTCTTCTGGGAGAAAGCTGGTAGACCTTCATATGAGAGACTGGGTTAGTGTATGCAGTACAAAAACAAAATCCTGCAGCAAGCAATGCATAATGAGAAAAAAACTGCGACCATGTTTTTGGTTGAAAACAGCAACTTTGTGGTGTATTTTCGTATGGTATTTATGGTTGTATTCTCGTTTTCTTGGTCTCATTTGATAGAATGGAAGATATATTACAGAAATAGAAGTGATTTTGAATGGTTTACCAAATAAAAGTAGCTTGAAATTGATGCTGATCAAGAGTAAACAAATTGCGTCAACTGGCGAGTCTAATGTGCATTCACAAATGCGCTGATATTATTTATATAATTATTACAAATTATGCAGTAGTCTGAATAACAGTAAATCATTTATTTTTTGTGTGAATAAAAATTCAAAATGAAAAGCAAGTGTAATACAAGAAGGACCTGGAGATAACTAATGAGCAGAGAAAATGTTATTTTAGTACCAGGAATGTCTGCATTGTTTATTCTGGCCCCTATTTTGAAATTGGCCAAATTAGTAATTTCTGGTCTCTCTTTTGTGTAGTTGAAGTAAGTAAATGGGCAGTTTCTTGTACTCAATCAATAGAATAAAAGAGTTCTAACGAAATAGCCATGAGTTTCAACGAGTGGAACAAAGGAATTGGCCCAAAATAGGAGTCAAATTGAGAGAAGTCATTGATGCATAAATATCACTGAGACCGCTAACTTCGTGAGAGTGTAATTTCGTAAGTTTTCCATCAAATTTAGAACTTGTTTCATTTTTTTTTTTTTCCAGAAAGATTATTTCTCAAGAAAATTTTTTTCTTAAACACTGAGCAAGTTTTGCGAGAACGGGTCTCAACACTCAAAGGGTTAAATTATGGGGAATCATATACAAAATGGGATTTAAAACAGTTACTTTTTGCTTATGATACTGTAGTTTTGGGAGATTCTATAGAAGAGTTGCAAAGGTTAATGGACAAGTTTGGCAGTGTGTGTAAAGGAAGAAAGTTGAAAGTGAACATAGTTAACCCTTTGAGGGTTTTGGACGTACTAGTACGGCTTACGACCCAGGGTTTTTGACGTACTAGTATGCCTAAATTCTAGCCCCCTCAAATCTAGTGGGAGAAAGCTGGTAGGCCTTCATATGAAAGAATGGGTCTATGTGGTCAGTGTGCACAGTCTAAAAAAAATCCTGCAGCACACAGTGCATAATGAGAAAAAAAAAACTGACCATTTTTTTGGAATAAAACAGCAACTTTGCACTGTTTTTTCGTATTGTATTTATTGTTGTATTCTAGTTTTCTTGGTCTCATTTTATAGAATGGAAGACATATTACAGAAATTGAGATGATTTTGACTGGTTTTACAATGAAAGGTACCTTGAAATTGAGCTCAAAGTAGCAGAAATGTTCAATTTTTACCAAATTTCAAAAGTAAACAAATTGTGCCAAGCGTGCAATACACGTCAACTGGTGAGTCTAATATTCTTTCATAAGTGCACCAATAATATTTATACCATTTTTTACACTAACGCAGTAGTCTGCATAACAGTAAATCTTATATTTTTTGTGAGAATAAAAATTCAAAGTGGAAAGCAAAAGAATATAAGAGGGGCCTTGAGACGTGACTAATGACCAGAGGAAATGTCATTTTAGTGCCAGGAATGTCTTTCTTGTTTATTCTGGACCCTGTTCGGAAATTGGCATCTTTTGAAATTTGTGTGAAATTGGCAAAATTGCTAAATTCTGACCACTGTACTGGATAGTTGAATTTCATAAATGGGTGGTTTCTTGCACCCATTCGATAGAAAAAATGGAGTTCTAGCGAAATATTCATGTTTTTTGTCGACTAGTACAGTGGAATTGGCCGAAAATGGGGCTCAAATTGGGCAAAATCGCCGATGCGTAAACATCGCCGAGACCGCTAACTTTGCGAGAGCATAATTCCATAAGTTTTTCATCAAATTCAAACTTTTGGTGTCATTATGATCGGGAAAAGATTCTCTATCTTTTCATAAGAGAAAATAATTTTTTTTTTCTTTTTAAATTTGGCCGACCCTGAGAACGAGTTTTGGAGAGGGCCTGTCGACCCTCAAAGGGTTAAGAGTAAGGTGATGAGGGTATCATATAATTTAGATAAAGAAAAACTAGGTATCACGTTTGAGGGAGGGAGTATGGAAGAAGTGAATGTGTTCAGATATGTGGGAGTTGACTTGTCAGCAGATTGGTTTATGAAGGATGAAGTTAACCATAGAATTGATAAAGGAAAAAATGTGAGTGGTACTTTGAGGTATCTATGGAGGCAATAAATGTTATCCAAGAAGGCAAAGAGGGGAATGTATGAGAGTATAGTGGTACCAACACTGTTATATGGGTGTGAAGCATGGGTTGTAAATGCTGCAGCAAGGAGGAGGCTGGAGGCAGTGGAGATGTGTCTAAGGGTAGTATGTGGTGTAAATATTATGCAGATAATTCATAGTTTGGAAATTAGGAGGAGGTATGGAGCTACTAAAAGTATTAGTCAGAGGGCTGAAGAGGAGTTGTTGAGGTGGTTTGGTCATTTAGAGAGGCTGAAACAAAGCAGAATGTCTTGGAAAGTGTATAAATCTGTAGTGGAAGGAAGGCGGAGTAGGGATCATCCTAGGAAAGCTTGAGGGAGGGGTTTGGATTTCCAGCAAGTGTGCGTGTGTTAGATAGGAGTGAATGAGATGAATGTTTTGGACCTGACAAGCTGTTGGAGTGTGAGCAGGGTAATATTTTGTGAAGGGATTTAGGGACACTGATTAGCCGGACTTGAGTCCTGGAGGTGGGAAGTGCAGTGCCTTCATTTTGAAGGAGGGGTTTGGGATATTGGCTGTTTGGAGTGACATCTAAACTGTTGCATCTGAGCGCCTCTGCAAAGACTCATTATGTATGAATGATGGTGAAAGTGTTGATGAAAGTTCGTTCTTTTTGGATCACCCTGCCTTGGTGGGAAACGGCCAACTTGGGTGGCTGAGTTCCACCCGTGTGTCGACCATCATACACGCATCTTGTCTCAAATTTTTCATTGCAACTCTAAACTAAATTCCTTTATAAGGGTAAATCGTAACTCCAGGGACCACTTTATACTGAAGGATTCCTTGAAAAATCTTAGTAAATTAAAATAATAAGCAGTTTTTTTAAATCATACTAAATGCAGTAGTAAAACAAGTTAATTGTTGCTCTTTCACTGTTTGTTTATTCCTCAAAGTTGTTGTGCAGTTCTTCTGAGAGCTGGTAGTGCAGATTTCCACAGGATGTAAGTTGGCACAATCCACATGCAGAAGTACATGGAAGACCATATGTTCTGCAACTTCAACAGGAGGTACTGCAACCAGTTTTGCAGTTGCAGTGCATCATTTTCACTAGTGTCAGGTACAGCATGTCAGACAACAGTAAAAGTTGATGGCCTTCAAGTGGATGTTACATGATGTTCAAGAGTGGCATTACCCTTCAACAAGGGTAAATAGTGTCAATTTCCTTTACTAGTAAAGCAAATTCAGAGTTTTCATCTACCACAGATTTTACAATCATCTGGTGAAGACACTTGTCCACCAGAAGATGGCCAAGGATTGTCCTTGGAACCAGTTTACTGGTTATCATATACACTGTAGCATTATTAACATAAACCATTTCTAGAATGCTTTTAAGTCCTGTGTCCTCCAGTTTACCTGTTGTTCCAGGCAGATATATGAATGTGGAAATTACCGAGAATTAGGATGATCTCCTTCCGGTGACTAGGGTGCATCACTGATGATCTTGCTAGCTTTCCAGTGCAGGGGTTGATCAAATGTTATTACAGGTGGGACATTGTATCTGCTGGCCAGGTTTTTGAGTAATTCAGATGTGGATAGAATTCAGTTTTTTTGTCACTTGTATACATATTGGTCATGGGTAAATACAAAAATAGAGGGGAGGACTGACTGGGATGCACATGCCCCTGATCAATGATAAGCATCATTCCACTGAATGTTTCAACACTTCCTGTGGTCAGATTTTTATACTTCATTTTTGTCTTTTGCAACAGCCAGTGGGTCAAAAAACAACCTTTTTAGTTTTTTTCAGGATTAAGATGTATTTTTTCTCATAAATTGACTCGCCTACTTATAAATTCACGAGTAAAGGATATGATCGTGTAAACTGACGTTCACCTCTCTAACTTGTGTAGGTAAACAAGAACTCTTCATATGGCTCATTGTGTGGGACTCCTAACTTGGTCCTTTTTCTTACTGATAGACAGGTTACAGATAGTCAGATTTATTTATGGTAAGATAGTTTGTTCAAAGAATAATGAAATTTAGTTAACAAGCGTGCGTGAGAGTGTTAGATAGGAGTGAATGGAGACGAATGGTATTTGGGACCTGACAATCTGTTGAAGTGTGAGCAGGGTAATATTTAGTGAAGGGATTCAGGGAAACGGGTTATTTTTATATAGCCAGACTTGAGTCCTGGAAATGGGAAGTACAATGCCTGCACTCTAAAGGAGGGGTTCGGGATATTAGCAGTTTGGAGGGATATGTTATGTATCTTTATAGGTATATGCTTCTAAACTGTTGTGTTCTGAGCACCTCTGCAAAAACAGTGATTTTGTGTGAGTGAGGTGAAAGTGTTGAATGATGATGAAAGTATTTTCTTTTTGGGGATTTTCTTTCTTTTTTGGGTCACCCTGCCTCGGTGGGAGACGGCCGACTTGTTAAAAAAAAAAAAAATACTAGTTATATTCTGAAGTCATGACCTATGTACTGAACTGATTATAATCAGTTCAATACCAAATAGCAGTAACAGAAGTTGATGTTTAGTGTTTATACATTGTAAAAAGACTGATTTATTTTACTTAGGCTTATGTTGTATGGTCGTTGTTAGTGACTGTTTCTTAGATTTTAATTTCCAATACATATTTGAATCTGTTTTAAATCACAATTACTTTTCTAGGCTTCCCATACAAGCTGGCAACCGAGGCTCCTCAGGGATCAAGGGTGAGAAATCCTCCAAAGGTAATACTGCTACTTCATTAACAAATGGAGAAGTTAAACCAGCTCTGCGTAACACTCAAATGACACAGTTCTTTCCTATACGGAGGTCAGAGCGAAAACCAAAGACAACCCTTCTTCAGGAACGACAAAAGGAGATAGAGGAAAGAATAAAGAGTGGCACAGAAGATGGTCTTATGGTTTGTAATGAAGGATACTTATTTTTAAAAAATTAGTAAATAGGTTTTTGTGTAAATTTAGGAGCCTTCTGGTAGGGGGGGGGGCCTAGAGGCAGGTGAAAGGCTTTTGATCCAAGGCATTAGAGCTACCCTCTCTGGATCAAACATGAATGTCCATGACCCATCCCATCCCCCAGGCTCTATATGACTTCAACAAGTTTAGCTTTTCTCTGACTTGCAAATATATAATGCTGGGGTTAGTGGATTAGAATTCTGGAAGTTAGGCCTGTTTTAACCCTTTCACTGTCCAGACTCCCAGGTCTGTAACTTTTCCACACTGTACAAGAATTTACAAAAACAAAAAAAAAAAATTTATGTGATGGTAGTTTTTTCTTTTTTTCTGAAGGTAATGAAACCAAAAGTGTGAAATTTGCTGGAAATTTGAGAAAATTGTGCTTTCGCGAATTTTGCCGTGTCAGCTATATTTACGTATAGGCAATTATTGCCAACTTTGAGTCCTATTTTAGGCTGGTTACATTATCAAACCATACCACGGGCGGGAATAGAACCCGTGATTAGTCTCAAAACTCCAGATCGTCGCGTTATTAGTCCAGTGGCTAAAGCGATGGTCTGGAGTTTTGAGACTCTCTGATCGCGGGTTCTATCCCTGCCCGTGATATGGTTTGTTTGCAATCATGTCATTACAGTTTCGTGAGTCTGGTTACATTATTCCAGTCAAACATATTCTTAGCTATTTCGCTAGTATTTATCTTTATCAATTGAGCACAAGAAATCGCCCAGTCAACTATTTCAGCTACCCAATAAATTGATCAGAAATTGGTAATTTGGCCAATTTCATACAAATTTTAAAATATTTGAATTTCAAAATAGAGTCCAGAATAAACAATGCAGGCATTCCTGGCAATTAAATAACATTTCCTCTGTTCATTAGTTACATTTCCATGCTTTATACATAAATTCCATTTTTATACAGGAAGGCCCCACTTACACGGCTGGTTAGGTTCCAGGCTACTGCCGTAAAGCGGAAACCGCCGTAAAGTGGAACACCCTTTTTTTCCACTTACAAATGCTTACAAACACTAGATAACAAGTTTACACTAACATATATTAAGTTAGCAATAGAACCAGACATCAAAAAACAATAAAAAAGTACAATACACACATAGTGCACTCATTACTTACCTTAAAATATTTATAGTCTTAATCTAGGGTGAGACAAGTAGTATTTATTGTAAGAAATCAAGTGTGATATGTATGGTAGTCAGCCAGGCTACCATACCAGGCCACCCCACCCACACATACAATTCTATGATATTTAAGCATCCCAGAGCAATAAAATGTATATACAGTTCACTAATTACTTTTTTTTTTTTTTTTTTCAACAAGTCGGCCGTCTCCCACCGAGGCAGGGTGACATTACTTACCTTAAAATATTTGTAGTCTTAATGTAGGGTCAGGAGTAAGTAAATGAGATAAAACGAATAAATGAGAGAGAGAAAGAATGAGTGCATGAGAGAGGACAGGCGCAGAGTTACGTAAACAAACCAGGCGAAGGTAAGTTTTGTAAACGAAGTGTACATGTCTGGTTTGTGTACAAGTTACATTGTGTACAGGTTGTCTCTACATTGATACGGTAGAATAAATAAAGAAGAACACTCCCATTCTCATGTAACATCATTTTGAGAAGAAATGATGCTCTGAGTGAAGGCAATGGAAATAAGTCACTCTGACTTTTTTGGGTTATCCTAGGTTCTCTACACATATGTTATGTATGATAATCTATGTAACTATTTGTGTATGTACCTGAATAAACTTACTTACATACATACGAAAGGAATAATTTTCTACAGTTACCCCCAGTAACACATTTTCTCTTATGTTAAATTAGAGAAAATGTTATTCTTGGCATCACTTATACAAGTTATCTGGCTACCACATCTCATATTTATGTTTATTTATTCTATTGTAGGGTGTATTTATCATCTTTTTATGTTATGTATCGTGTTTATTATATAATTTTGAAAAAAATATCATGGATGGATTAATGAAAATCTACCACATCTCATATTTATGTTTATTTATTCTGTTGTGGGGTGTATTTATCATCTTTTTATGTTATCTATCGTGTTTATTATATAATTTTGAAAAAAATATCATAGATGGATTAATGAAAATGTGTATTTAACGTAATATACGACATTTAAACGAGACTCGATGATTATTATTATCATTACTAATATGACGTCTGGAGACATAAGACACTCTTACTGATTTTAATGTGTACCTGCACGCCAGCACAGTATGTAAGTTTATTTAAGTACAGGTATACATAAGTATAATTATCAGAGTATATATAAAATATGAAATAACTTTTAAAAACATTTGAAATTTTTGAGTTTCCAGACAAAATGGAGAGACTTAGTGCTTACTGAGCTCACGAAGAATGTAAACAAACAAGGTGGGGCGCGGTGACCGTATTAGAAAGTCAGGTGGGGGGAGCCGTATAGCGAGTTTTGGTCATAATTTGAAATGACCGTATTAGCGGAACGCCGTAAAGTGAAACGCCGTAAAGCGGGGCCCTGCTGTATTTTATTCACACAAAAATAGAAGATTTACTGTTTTGCAGCATTGTAATAACTAAATAAATATCAGTACATTCATGAACACATATTAGATCCACCAGTTGGACGTGTATTGGATAAGTAACATGATCTGTTTACTCTTGAATATCGGCAAAAATCACATTTTTCCGCTACTTAAGAGCTCAATTTCAGTCTACTTTCAGTTTTGAAACCATTCAGAATCATCTGTTTCTGTAATATATCTTCCATTCTATCAAATGAGATCATACAATAATACACCTCTGAGTTGCTGTTTTAAACCAAAAACACGGTCGCAGTAATTTTTTAATCTTTCCTCGTTATGCACTGCTGCAGGATTTTTTTTATATGGTGCACACTTACCCATTCTCATATCTAGACTCAAATTTACTGCTCACAGCTTATGAGTGAGCTGAGCTCGTGGTGTAGTACTATGGCACTGACAGTGACCTCAAAGCCGTAGTACTATGGCACAGTCAGCGTAAAGGTTAAATGTGAATAAAATGTATCTTGTTATTAAAAAAAATAAAAGGAAATTTTGACACAGGTATTTGAATGTGTGTAAGTGTAGTTCAGAAAAGAAAGAATTGTTTACAGTTGACTTGTTAGTTAACAGTAATGTTCCTGAAAATATCATCACAGAATCGTGTGAAGTGAACTGAAGAACATATGAAAAAATAGGGTTACGTTCATTAATCCTTCCCCCCCCTCTCCTCCTCCTCCTCCTCCTCCTCCTCCTCCTCCTTCCTCCTCCTCCTTCCTCCTCTAAAAAAAAAATCATCAAAAATTTTTTAAGTTTCAAATTTGTAAAAAAAAAAAAAAATTATAATTGTAGATTGAGTTAGTGATATATTCTACTTAATGCAATATTTATAACTAGAAAGGTTATGTAAATAATATTTCTTACTTTACCCCGGTTACTAGCATATGTTGATCATGAAAGTGGTAGAGAGGAATGGTGTAGCCATACTGGGCTGACATACATAAGGTTGTGAATCATTGGCTGACGTGGATGGCAGATTTACCAATAGTATGGAACTGCTCACATAACTATTATGACAACTTTTTCTTCAGGTTCTTCCTCATCTTCATTATCTGTCTCGTTTGTATCTGGGCATTCAACTCCACCAACATTTCCTCTGGACTTTTTTCTTCATTAACAGTTCATTCACATCTTCATATCTCTCATCTGGCAATCTTGATACCTAAACAGTTTCCTAGGCCTGGCTCTCAACTGAGGAAAACCTATGAAAGTATTCACCACAGTAGACCATAGCTCTCACCAATCTGCATTTAATGTTGATTGAGGCATTTTGCTTCATACACTTTTTTTGACCTAGCTGATGGCATCACAATATTAAATTTAAGCCAAAAGTCTGGCACTCCAAACTTGAAATCACTGTCAATTGTGACATTAAGTTTTCGCATCACTTTTTAGTATGTAGTTACACTTAAATGTCTTAATAATTCCAAGATTCAGTGGTTGTATTGAAAATGTTGTATTTTGTGGTAAAAGACAACTTTTACATGTGGATGCACTTCCCCCAGAACTTCAGATGAGTACGGGAATTATCGAGAGTAAAGAGAACCTTGCTACGCAGGTAAAACATGACTTGGGAAATAGTGATGATTACAGTGCTTATCATTAACTCTTTCAGTGTTGGCCCCATTGTACACGGCTTTGAAGCTAGTGTCGGTCCCATAGTATGACAACATGAGCTCAGTTTAATCAGATAAGCTGTGAGCGGTAAAATTGGGACTAGATATGAGAGAATGGGTCTTTACGATAAGTGTGCACCATGTAAAAAAAGAGATCCTGCAGCACGCAGTGCATTATGAGAAAAAACTACAACTGTGTTTTTGGTTTAAAACGGCGACTGCAATTTATTTTTGTGTGGTTGTATTCTCAGTTTCTTAGTTTCATTTGATATAATGGAAGATATATTACAGAAATAGATAGTTTTGATTAGTTTCAGGACTGAAAATACCTTGAAATCGATCTCAAAGTAGCGGAAGTGTTCGATTTTTGCCGATAGTCCAACTGGACAGTTTAATGTGCTTTTAGGAATGCTCTGATATTATTTATACAATTATTACAATAATAGTGTGTGTTTTTTTTTTTTTTTTTTTTTTTTTTTTTTTTTTTTTTTTTTTTAGTACTATGTAATATGAGAGGGTCCTGGAGACATGACTAAAGAGCAGGAGGAAATGTTTGTTTAGTGCCAGATATGTCTACATTGTATATTCTGGACCCTATTTTCAGATTGACAATTGTGTGAAATTGACCAAATTACCAATTTCTGATATTGGTTGGCTGAAATAGATAAATGGGTGGTTTCTTGTACTCATTTGATAGAATAGGAAGAATACTAGCAAAACAGCTTATGAGTTTGGTTGAGT